AGATTTTTTTTCTGACAGCTGTAACAAGAATATCAACCTGTTTTACCTTACCTTAATTCACAGCAGCTAACCTGCCATTGTGGAGCCTGTCATTAAAGTCTATTTCTTCCTTCATGCGACAGTTTCAACTAGCTCTCCAGATCCATCTTTCTGTGTTTAGATTGAGTGCACCCATTCTCCCTAAAAAATAACATTCAATAATGTTCAAGAAATGTTTCCATCAATTTTTATTTTTAAAAGAAGTTATGCAATGATAGCACAGTGCATTCTTTGTGTGCCTAGAAGGACTGCCATTTTAAAACGTTTATAAATAGGAAAATATAAGGCAACAAAACAATTCTTTCGCTTCTTGATACATACTGGTTTATAGCTAAAAGATCCATAATAATTTTATTATTTTAAAATTAAACGAGAGCAGAAGTTACTTTTTTCAACTGCTGTTTATTTTAATATTATAAGTACAATCTTAGCTAGAAAACATTTATTTATTTATATATATATATATATATATACACACAGGGTGTACATAAAGTTCGTGTGCACTTTAAAAATTTATAACTTTATTTGTATTTGCGATAGAAATAATTTGTAAAAAGAATTAGAAAGAAGTAAATCTATATTTTTTAAGGTTTTATTGTTCTCCATCATTAGCAATACAAATGCTAGGGTAATACGATTTTGCAGTTCACGGAAAAAATTTGCCATCTGATTTACAGTAATGACTGAAATCACATTAGTTATTTTAGCTATACTTAAAACTACGTACATTAAACTTTTATAGCATTTTTTACAGATGCACACGAACTTTATGGACACCTATATATATATATATATATATATATATATATATATATATATATACATGTGCATATGCATGCACACACACACGCCATTTATTTGCTGTCAGTTTTATGCAATATTTACATCCACACACTACACAAAGAAAACAATCTTGATTTAATTTTCAGGGTTTATTCAACTGACAAAATTTTTCTTTACTTTCTTGTAGTCTCATAATTTTAACATTTTTTGTTATAAAAAGTGTGTTAAAAATAACACTCATAAGATATTGAAATAAAGACACCATTACCACTAATGAAGTGGGAGGTATTTCTGCAATTCCCTGTACATCGAAATAATTCACCGCAGGAGAAAAAAAAATATATATAAAATAATAATGATAAAATTTAAATGTTTAATACATTCTTTTCCAGTACTGTTGAGCTCTGTGAAACCATTTGACACATGATATAACTTGTATGATATGTATATAGTTCAACTTGATTTGAATTTCAGCATTTCTCTGAAAAATACCAGAATATAGCCAACAAAATTCTGTCTACCATAATGGCAGCCTTCATTTTAGCTAATGTCTAGGTTCAAAGTACTTGAACAATATGAGAACCAAAGCAGGGACAATATACATACCATTTTGATTTGGATGTACAATAACTGATTTGAAAAAAATTAAACAGACACTGATGTTTGAATTCAATACAACTAGTTTAAATACATAAAAAGATTAAGAAATAAATGTGTGTGTACAAGATGTACAAGCGAATAAATATATATATATATATATATATAGTAATATCAAATCCATAAGTGGAAAGGATAATCCAAGTAGGTCTTCTTAATATAAAATATTAAAAAGATAGATCCATGAAGAGAGCCCACTGTATATAGAACAATATGATATTCATCAAAGGAAAAATTTAACACATCATCAAAAAATCTGGTAATAAATTTATTTCAGCAGGTAAGTTTTTAATACGTTGTCTGCCTTAATTTAGACTATTTTGTAATTTGGGTCTGATGAGGCAGGTATCAAAAAGTTACCTGCTGAAATAAATTTATTACCGGAATTTCAATGATGTGTTTTTTTTTTCCTTTGATGTATATCAAATTGCTTTCTATCCAATACATTGCGCAATCTCTTCATGGATCTATCTTTTTTCCTTTGAGATTATATATATATATATATATATATATATATATATATAGGGAGGCATGGTGAAGTAATGGATAGTGGCTTGGATTGGGGAATCGGAGAGCTGAGTTTGAATTTCAATCATATCCATTATAATTCACTTATGTGCTAATACCATCGGGAAAGATATGAATTTTCTTCTCCCAACAACTATGAGTAAATAGCATGACAAACTGTTCTTTCTATGGCTTTGGGTGGTAACTGGTCTAGGAGATGGAAACTCTGAATTCAAAAGAGGCCTGGGGATGGTTGGGCTCTGTCAAGCTATCTTTCCCAAAAAGCACCACTTCTACTGCGGCTTCACTATATGTGGTGGCCCTACAACCCTGATGGCTTACAGGATTCACAATTATGATCAATATTGGGTAATCCTGTGTGTGTCTTGACTAACTTTTTTCTTTTTGTTATTTGGTGCATAGTTGTTTAAAGAGAAAGAGATTCCCCTCCTGGTTTTGAATTGAGAATTATCCTTTGGGGGAGCCCTCTCCTTGCACTGTGGACTTCAGTCTCAGAAGTGATGTCACTACATCTGGCAGCAAGTCCTCTGATCAAGAGATTGGAGGTTTGAGGAGCATGGAACCACCTCTTAATTGCTATTGTTCCCAGATCCACCCTAACCCAGGGTGCTAGCACTTGTTAGTGTCTCAGCTATGGGCAAATAGTGAACCCTCAAACAAAAACAAAACACTATGAAAGTATAAAAATCCATTTTTATAGTAAAAATACCAGCAATACATTTCTATTTTTAAAAAAAATGACTTACAATAGGTATTTATAGTAGAACTAGCAGTATAAACTATCTCTAACCAGGTCTTTCAGTACTTGGAATTTTTTGCGTTCAGTTGGAGAAGTTTAAGTTTAAAGTCAGTCCACCCAAAAATCAATATTAAGAACAACATTTGAGTGCAACTGAGGCACATCCCCAAAATGAGGGGGGTAACAATTTGAATGGAGGGTGTCTCTGAAAATGGCTGTTTTTGTGTTCTCAGTCTTGTTTCAGCCTCACAGCAGAAGTTGAAGAGGCACTTCTTCTCAGCCATTGAGTCCTTTGATCATCATTTTCAGCCTTGTGCAGAGAAGCATTCAAGATATGCTCCTTTGGAAAGCCAATGGCTATGTTGATCTTTGGACTTGAAGCATTTTGAGACAAACAAACTGAACGTTCTAAAGACAATTCATTATCTCTTATTCAGAGTGCAGACCTTACAGCAGCCGTTTTGCAACCTAGGCAAGTTCTTTTCTTTGGTAGCAAGTATGAATTGTTAAATAGAATGTGTGGGCAAATACCAGAAGAGAATGCTGTAAAGCTACAGGGATCAGTAAGCTCGAATAACTTGGGGAAACTTTGGAAAAAAGATAAATGTTGAGTAATAAAAAAAAAAAAGCAAAAAAAAAGCAAACGTACTTATTACTACGGTGAATGCAATGCAAAAACTGGCAGGACAATAAAAAAAATTTAAATTGGGAATGGCATATAAAGGACAATGAAAGCAATGTCTTAAAACTGTAGTAATGGGTTTTATGCAATGGAAAAGGTAACCTCACTTGAGAGATTGAATGCTTGGCCAAGAGAAGGGGAATGTATAATTTGGACTTAAAACCGGCACTGAACAATTATCTATCAAACAAAAAAATTTCATTGAAATCGGATGAAAACTGTTAAAATGCTTGAACAACATCCAATCAGACACACATTTTGAGAATTATAGATATAGATAATAATACTGCAATAATTTAAAGTATTTATTTTATAAAAGTTTTTATGAAAGATATATCTATCCAAGAACAGAAAGTAAATAGTAAAACATTGCTGAGAGTTATAATGGACAGGAAGTAGTGGAGAGACATTGTCGCCAACAATTTGGGCTCAAAATTGGCACTGAAGAATTATCTATCAAACAAAAAAAATTCATCGATATCAGATGAAAACTCTGGAAACACTTAAACAACATCCGATCACACATACATACTCACACACATACACATTTTGAGAATTATAGATATGAAAGATTTGGAACAATGCATTTTATAGCAAAATGAACAACAAAGCATTTTATCTGTAGATGAAGGCATACAATTGCATTCAAAATATATTTAGTTCAAGCCATAAAATTGTGTCCAAAATATTTAGATTTCAGTATTAAATAATCCCGAGTGGTTGATAGGGCACAAACAAAATTAACCGACCAACCCAGTGATGTCATCACTATACTAACTGCATACATAAAAGCACAGTCTAATTCATTGTGCATGATGGATGTTGATCTTAGATTCTTCATCCACTCTTGTCTTTAATCTTAGTGAGTATCAATCTATCCTCCACAAAAGAAAAGCCTGGTTTAAGAACCAGTTTATTTACCAAGGACCTGACTGTGTGGCATGTTATTCTGGATTACATGGTACCATTAGCAATCATTGGCATGATAAAAATGGGAATAAAACAAATAGCAAATGAATAAGATCTATAATCTGAACCTCTTGTAAAATGATGACTCATCTTAAAATTGCAGAAATGTATCATGCCTTTAGAATGTTCAAGTTTTAACCAGATTGATCATATCACTCAGTTCATTTCATATACATGTCATATATATATATATATATATATATATATATATATATATAAAATCAAGAATTTACTGAATGGTCAATGCAAAGAAAATATAGATAAATGTATGTCTTCATTGTCCTGACATGTTGAACTTATGAAGATTGAAGTCAATTTATGGAGTGGCACTTAGAGAAAAGAGTGGAACGAAAAAGAATCGTAAGGTTTAACAACCAATTGGCCCCACTTCAATCATAATAAATACCATTTATTTATCATTCGTCCATAGTACTAATCATTGTGTATTCTCAACTGCCCACGCACTCAGTTTAACAACTGTTCACTCTCTCTTAAATTTACCCTTACTCTGTTATTTCCTCATTATTTTTTCTTTTCCTTCTTTCTCTGCTGTGTGCATTTGAAAGATTCAAAAATACTTCTTCCATTTTGACAAATCATGCAATGCCTCTTTACTTGTCTGTCTTTCTTGCTTCCATCACTGTGACTGTTCACTGTTTTCTCTTTTATTAATTTCTTTTTCCTTTTCTCTCTAATTTTCAATCTTGTTCTTGTATCATTCTTTTCATTCTCTTTCTTCTCTTATTCACTTTCTCTTAGTGTCTCCTTTCCTTTGGATCTCCCTGTTGTCCATGGTTTCTTTTTCATCTGTCTCTTTATCTCCACACTCACTTTTTTCATTAATTGCCTATCTTTCGTTTGAAAACATTTTGTTTTCATTTTACCCCTTTTCTTAACTTCAAAGTAACTTTCCTTTCTACACCCATCGTCCTTTTCTTTGTTTTTTCTTTATTTACTCAATATTTTCACTCTATCAAATTGTTCTTTTCATTATGTTACTCCTTCATTTCTTTTTTCCTTTTCTTCCTCCTATTCTCCCTCCTTTCTGTCTTCCCTTCTCCCTCCTTTCTATCTTCCCTTCTCCCTCCTTTCTATCTATAGCAATATTAGTAGCTACTTTAGCAAATTATCTGGCAGTTTAAGATGTTATTAAAATTATGAAGAAGAAAAAGATTGCCTGTAGAACAAAACATTGAACAGCATAAAATATTGTGTGACAAGATGCAACTAACTTTTTGCCAGCGTTGTACTTTGTTTGTACAAGCTTTCTTGTTTCTGATCATTTTTACCTTTTCTTTTTGACACCACTGATTCCAAAATGTCTTCATCATAGTTTTATTTTGTTATGTTTTTTTTGCCTTCTTTACATTTTTCTCTTCATTTTCTACCACCACATGAGAAAATTCATTAACTTTAATGTTCTTAACTCTTTATTTGACATTTTCTTTTTCTCAAAGAATCTTCATTTTCCTTTTTTGTTTTCTCTTCATTCTCTTCAATATAATTTTTCTATTCTTTTTGTTAACCTTGTCTTCCCTGTCCCAAGAATCTTAATTTTCTTTCACATTCTTATTTTTTACATTGTAGGAAGTTGCTTATGTTTCGGCTTAAAATAACAGGCAAAAGGGGAGATAAGCCATAAAAAAATCATTCTTTTTCATACTTTTTTTTTTAATTTTTCATCTTCACTTTTTTTTTCATTTATCTTATCTGATTATTTTATACCTTGTTTTCCTCTTTCCTTTTCCTCTTCTTAAAAACAAAATTTTCCTTCTTGAATAAATGAATGAAGATTTCTCTCACTAAAATTGTAATGTCATCTCCTGCTATTCGTGAAGGCCAAGCATTTGAGAGATATCAAGAGTAATCAGTTTGGGGAGTCAAGTCTAAGTTGTTTTGAGTGACACATCGTTGAAGGCAGGTGTTATAGATCAAGAAAACACATGTTTTTCAAGAGTATCAATCAGATATAAAAATTTGATATTTATATTAAAGAAGTTGAATCTAGTTCACTCTGAGAAGAGTTTATTATAACCTTTCACATTTCTGTAAATCTAAAGGATGCTTACATAATATTCCTCTTTTCTTTCCATTCTTCCTTTTTTTTCATATTACCAATCATTTATTTTACTTTACTCTCTGTCTTTTATTTTTTTTCTCTCTTTCTCTCCCTTTTTGTATTTTCTAGCTTTCCCTTTACATATCTTTCCAATTCAGACTGTTTCACTTGTTTTTGTATTTTAACCTTTCTTTCTTTCTTTACATTTTCTTTCTTTCTTTACATTTTCTTTCTTTCTTTATATTTTCTTTCTTTCTTTACATTTTCTTTCTTTCTTTACATTTTCTTTCTTTCTTTACATTTTCTTTCTTTCTTTACATTTTCTTTCTTTCTTTACATTTTCTTTCTTTCTTTACACTTTCTTTCTTTCTTCCTTTCCACTTACTTTCTTCCTTTCTTTACACTTTTTCTTTCTTTACACTTTTTCTTTCTTTACACTTTTTCTTTCTTTACACTTTTTCTTTCTTTCCACTTTCTTTCTTTCTTTCCACTTTCTTTCTTTCTTTCCACTTTCTTTCTTTCTTTCCACTTTCTTTCTTTCTTTCCACTTTCTTTCTCTCTTTCCACTTTCTTTCTCTCTTTCCACTTTCTTTCTCTCTTTCCACTTTCTTTCTCTTTTCCATTTCTTTTCTTTTCACTTTCTTTCTCTTTCCACTTTCTTTCTCTCTTTCCACTTTCTTTCTTTCATTCCACTTTCTTTCATTCATTTTTCTTTTCTTTCTTTCATTCATTCTTTCTTTCATTCATTCTTTCTTTCATTCATTCTTTCATTCATTCTTTCATTCATTCTTTCTTTCATTCTTTCTTTCTTCTTTCTTTCATTCATTCTTTCTTTCATTTTTCTTTCTTCATTCTTTCTTTTTCATTTCTTTCTTTCATTCATTTTTTTTTTCTTTTTCTTTCATTCATTCTTTTTTTCATTCATTCTTTCTTTCATTCATTCTTTCTTTCTACATTCTTTTTCTTTTCATTTCATTCTTTTCTTTCATTCATTCTTTCTTTCATTCATTCTTTTTTCATTTTTTTCTTTTCATTCTTTTTCTTTCATTCTTTTTCTTTCATTCATTCTTTCTTTCATTCATTCTTTTCTTTCATTCTTTTCCATTTCTTTCTTTCTTTCTTTTTCTTTCTTTTTCATTCTTTTTTTCTTTCTTTTTCTTTCTTTCTTTCTTTCTTTCATTCTTTCTTTCTTTCCACTTCTTTCTTTCATTTCATTCATTCTTTCATTCTTTCTTTCTTTCTTTTTCTTTTCTTTCTTTCATTCATTCTTTTCTTTCTTTTTTTCATTCTTTCTTTCTTTCATTCTTTCTTTCTTTCATTCCTTCTTCCTTTCATTCTTTCTTTCATTCATTCTTTCTTTTTTCTTTCATTCTCTCTTTCTTTCTTTTATTTTTTATTTCATTCTTTCTTTCTTTCTTTATTTCTTTCATTCATTCTTTCTTTCATTCATTATTTCTTTCATTATTGCATTCATTCATTCTTTCTTTCTTTCATACATTCATTCTTTCTTTCATTCGTTTTTTCATTCATTCTTTCTTTCATTCTTTTTTTCATTCATTCTTTCTTTCATTCTTTTTCTTTCATTCATTCATTCATTCATTCTTTCTTTCTTTCATTCATTCTTTCTTTCTTTCATTCTTTCTTTCTTTCATTCTTTCTTTCATTCTTTCTTTCATTCATTCTTTCTTTCATTCATTCTTTCTTTCATTCTTTCTTTTTCTTTCTTTCTTTCTTTCTTTCATTCATTCTTTCATTCCTTCTTTCTTACTTTTCTTTCTTTCATTCATTCTTTCTTTCATTCATTCTTTCTTTCATTCATTCTTTCTTTCATTCATTCTTTCATTCATTCTTTCTTTCATTCATTCTTTCTTTCATTCATTCTTTCTTTCATTCATTCTTTCTTTCATTCATTCTTTCTTTCATTCATTCTTTCTTTCATTCATTCTTTCTTTCATTCATTCTTTCATTCATTCATTCTTTCTTTCATTCATTCTTTCTTTCATTCATTCTTTCTTTCATTCATTCTTTCTTTCATTCATTCATTCTTTCATTCATTCATTCATTCTTTCTTTCATTCTTTCTTTCTTTCATTCTTTCTTTCTTTCTTTCATTCTTTCTTTCTTTCTTTTTCTTTCTTTCTTTCTTTCTTTCTTTCTTTCTTTCTTTCTTTCTTGTCATTCTTTCTTTATTTCTTGTCATTCTTTCTTTCTTCTTTATTTCTTGTCATTCTTTTCTTTCTTTCTTGTCATTCTTTCTTTCTTTTCTTTCTTCTTTCTTTCTTTCTTTCTTTCTTTCTTTCTTTCTTTCATTCTTTCTTTCTTTCATTTCTTCTTTCTTTCATTCATTCTTTCTTTCTTTCATTCATTCTTACTTTCATTCTTTTTTTCTTTCATTCATTCTTTCTTTCATTTTCTTTCTTTCTTCATTCTTTCTTTCATTCATTCTTTCTTTCATTCATTCTTTCTTTCATTCTTTTTTTCTTTCATTCGTTCTTTCTTTCATTTTCTTTCTTTTTTCATTCATTCATTCATTCATTCATTCATTCTTTCTATCTTTCATTCATTCTTTCTTTCTTTCATTTTTCTTTCGGCTTTCTTTTTTTCATTCATTCATTTTTTCTTTTATTCATTCTTTCTTTCTTTCATTCTTTTCATTCATTTTTTTTTTTCTTTTTTCATTCATTCTTTCTTTCTTTCATTCTTTCTTTTTTTCATTCTTTCTTTCTTTCATTCTTCTTCATTCTTTTTTCATTCATTCTTTCTTTCATTCATTCTTTCTTTCATTCATTCTTTCTTTCATTCATTCATTCTTTCTTTCATTCATTCTTTCTTTCATTCATTCTTTCTTTCATTCATTCTTTCTTTCATTCATTCTTTCTTTCATTCATTCATTCTTTCTTTCATTCATTCTTTTCTTTCTTTCATTCTTTCTTTCTTTCATTCTTTCTTTCTTTCATTCTTTCTTTCTTTCATTCTTTCTTTCATTCTTTCTTTCATTCATTCTTTCTTTCATTCATTCTTTCTTTCATTCTTTCTTTCATTCTTTCTTTCTTTCATTCTTTCTTTCTTTCTTTCTTTCTTTCATTCTTTCTTTCTTTGCACTTTCTTTCTTTGCACTTTCTTTCTTTGCACTTTCTTTCTTTTGCACTTTCTTTCTTTCTTTACATTTTATTTCTTGGGGCACTTTTTTTCTTTTCTTTTTTTTTTTTTTTTTTGGCACTTCTTTTTTGCCTCATGTTTTTGTTGCACTTTCTTTTTCTACTCTTTATCATTCTATTTCTTTATTTTCCATATCATTCTCTTTCTTTATTTTCCAATTACTTTTTTCAATTCTTTTTCTCTTTTCCCTTTCAACCTATATAGTCTTCTTTATTCTTTTTTCTCTTACATATTCCTTGTACTTTTTCCCACTTTTAAATTACAATCCTTTTTCACTTTCTTCAAACCCATTTTGTAACAAAATATTACGACATTAATATTTCTTGCATAACTTCAAATTTTGTTGAGTTGTCAAATCAACATTTTTGTACAAAGCTTCATTAAAAGCAAAACTTCATTGCAATTTGTAAAGTTCACTCCAGTTCATTCTTTTATTTACTTTAAGAAAAGTGTACTACGTTAAATCCTGAAATCTATTCATCTATCAAAAGAGAACATAATTTTTTTTTTTTAACAAAAAGATTTTTCAACATGGCTATCTTAGTTTCTACTAAATTTCTGGGATGAGGAATTATCATTATTTACACAATTTGCATTATTATCCTCATCCTTGTTGTTATTACAATATTTCAGTTGTTGTACCCTTTGGCCTTCTTCAAGTGTACATTGATATGGTTCTTATTTTTAGTATTACACAGTTATTGCATGTTCATTTCCACTGATTCCAAGTCCTTAGGAAGGCCAGAGTTGCAGAATGGCCAAAAGTTGTGATAACAACAACAAACATGAGAACAATGTTCCAAATATAAATAGCGTAAATAATGACTTAGTATGATTTCCAAATTATGAGTAATTATTATTAAATTCATATTAGTGATTTCTGATGATTTCCCAACAATTTCCTGTTATCAGTTGTATTTTACAGCCTATGTTTTTTTTTTTCTTTTTTTACATTAAGGTTCACCCTTTACAAGGCCCAGGGGCCTCTTGAGGTAAAGAGTTACGTTAAGAGGTAGTTTATATGGATAGGAGGGCAATGATAACTACAAGACAGTAGTTCACAGAAAGAAACTTTTCTTACAATTGATGTCCTTTCTTTTCTTTCCTTGATTATCTTTTTGTAGAAGGTCCTGTAGTTTCTTTTCTTTTCTACTATCAACATTGTGTTGTCTGCTTATTTTATGTTAAGATTGTGGTCACCAATAATGAATCCTGGTTGGACTAGAATTAATATTAAGGATGAATTATACTTTCAATAAAAGGCTTCTTCATGCCACAAACTGACAATTCTTCTTGCTATCAACTATGACCTTCAAAAATTTAAATGCAACATGATCTCTTTGAATCCTGTTCTCTCAATGTTTTCTCAATTTCTTTCACTCTTGCATCTTAGTGGCTTTATTGCCTTACTAGAGATGAAATGATTAAAAATAAAAATATTGATACTTGTTCCAATTACTTTTAGAACAAACATAACAGAAAGCCCTTAACCAATTAAGGATTTTATTGATTTTAGTGAACTCAGAATTCAGAAGTTTTATAGTCATTAATCCCTTAATTCTATTAGGATGAATAATGAGGCTTGTGGTTTTGATTTCAGAGCTTTGATGGTGTTGTCATGGTGAAGAGAAATTATAAGAAGTAGTGTTTCTCTATCAGACACTAACCATAATGAACTTCCAGTCATATTTTTTTTTCTGTAGTTTTGTCCAGATAATTGATATTTGATCAGTTTACCATCCAGTCGATTAGTGCTCAAGAATTTTATCGTTTAAAATGATCATACCGATATTGATTAATTTCAGTTTAATGATGATTATACTCATATTCTTCTACATAGGACTAATTTCAGTACAAATCTATATTAATTTAACTCTAAGGACTGTAGCTACTTTAACTGACTCACATGATGGGCACAAAATTTTCTTAACCTGCAAGTGGTGTTTATATAGATTGATTCATTCATTTGGTTTATCAACTCTTTGCAGCTTATTTACAACTAGAAAATAATATTAGATTATAAGAGTTTTCTTTTTGATACAAGTCTTACTAATTAACCCATAGTTGGGGGTAGAAGAGGTGGATTCATAACTTTCCCAAGGTTATTTGCATATAAGTGAATAAAATGACATCAACTGGAATTGAAAGTCTGCTCTTTGATTAACAATTCTGAACCCTTATTGATTACACATCCCACATATCCAAACTTACAGCACTTGGTATTCCCGAGCAGTTACTCATATAGATACTGACCAGGCTCAAAGTTGCTTAAGCAGTGATTATATGAGAGCTAGTCTTTCAATGTGATGTAGCTGTAAACAGTTCCATAATATATTTGTGTGTATATATATATATATATATATATATATATACACACACACAAAGACACATAAAGATATATATATATATTCTACAAAATGTCCTCATCTTTGTTGCCATATTTGTCACAAAGTTTCAGCCATTGTACGCTCTGGCCTTCTTCAGGTGGTTGGAATGTCAAACTGAACCCTTTATTTTGCTCACTGTGGTAGACTGTTCGAGTTAGTTATCAGTTATCTCCTGTTAATTCCCTTCTCCAAGTTCTCCACCGCCTTAACCAGGTATTGAATTCTCACTCTTTGCGTCTTGTCACTGGATCAAATGCACCCCTTTATCCACTGTGCCATGTGTCCTTGAGGACAACTGTGTATAAAATTCTGGGTATTATGAGCTTAATGTCTTCAGCAACCATTTTTACCACCCCTATAAGTTAAACATTAGGGGATACTGGACTCTTTAGCCTTGGTTGGCAACCAGTCTAGGTGGACTACAACTCTAAATTCAAAACCTGAAGAAGGTCATTTGAAGACCTTGTATCACAATGTTTGCAAGTTTTCTCTATTTGATTCTTCTGAAAAGTGTGGTTGGTTTTGCACAAACCTGCACCACTATAATCAAATCATGAGAGTGGGTAGTCTGCCTGTTCGGTACTAAGAACTAAGCTGCTTGAACCCTCATAGACTGAAAATGATGAGAGAGTCCGGTAATATATATTATTTATATTGGTCACACCATAGACTCACTTTCACAACACTTGACTCTACATTTGAATGATAATTCTAACATTTTTTAGCATTTAAAACAACATGCCTGGCCACATACACAATTCCGGAAAATCCTTGTTGAAAATACAACTATACTTAAACATGGAAACAAACAAAAACTAAAAATTCTTGAAGCTATATACATAAAACAGTTGAAACCTAACCTGAACAAAGTAAGCTATGAAAACTCCACAAATATAATTAAATGCCTATAATTGATAACAGAAGCCATTTGTTTATACCAACAGCTTCCCATACTTAATACTTCTTGTTTTTACTCCCGTGTGGTTATGTGTGATGTCATAGGCTGCAGTACGATTGTTACTTCTAGTGGCTCATATGCACAAGTTTGTCATTGCTTGGAAATCTTCCATGCAAACAAAACAGACTATCATTGTTGCTATGTCAATATATTGTTTAATTTTTTGTAATGTACTTGTCATCTCTAATGATGGCTTATGTAAGCCAAAAGCTTAGATAGGATTAAAAAACATGTATCAATATGGTGATTTTCTTTCGTCTTTCAATGATAATGTTATTAAGCTTATCAGATGATATGAAAGGAATTTGCATTAAATAAATAGACAAAACTTGTCTATAATATTTAATGAAACATTATATATATATATATATATATATATATATATATATATATATATATATATATATATATATATAAGCCCTGTTCTGTTAGTTCACCTCAGCCAGGCATAAATTTTAAAAAGAAAAGATCTTTTATCATAGAAATTTATTTTTATCAAAATAGAAATGGTAAAGGAATGTTTCAAGTTTTTATTTCATGATATTGATACTAAACAAATGAATGATCTCACCCATATGATGTCTGATCAAAAAGTATTGAGTTAGGTGCTATGAAATGAAAACTACAGCACCTATCAACTCGGCACTTAATCCCCTTTAAAATACTACCTGACAGAAGCCTCACTTTCCAGAATCATTTTCATTGATGGTAGAATTCTTTCTTTGGGGTAGTGAGATACTGCCTCATTGCATTCTCTTGGATTTCCTTGATCTCTTGAAATCTTGTTCCTTTCAAGTGGGATTTGATTTTTGAAGAGGAAAAAGTCACAAGGGGTAAGATCTGGGGAATATGGCAGTTTTCTCACCTGGGGAATGGTTTCCAAAGTTTAAAACTGCAGCACAAGCCATGGTCATTGATGGAAACCCTGTGGTAGGATGAGATGACCACACTCTACACATTTTCCTTCCATGCACTGGTATAAACAACAGGAGTGAGTGAGAATGTTATGACTTACTGTGTATAATAACAGAGTTCAAGGTCAATCTGTAACAAGGGACTTCATTTTTCATACTTTAGCTCAATTACCATAGCAACAGTCTTTGATACTTTAGGATCAGACCTCATATTAAAGATGACAACAAGACAGTAGTGTTATCAGTTGAAGGTTTTTAATTCTTAAAGTTTTAATTCTTTCAGTCCTCATTGCTGAGTGTCAGAGACGATGGACAAATGCATCAATACTCTCCATTGTTTCATCTTCCATATTATGACCATACACGCCAGCAGTGCTCTCTTTGTCCAATCTCTGATTTCATTAGTCCAGTATTGACTTGGGCTTCCTCTAGGTTTCCTGCCATCAATGCACCCCACCAGAATAGAGATGCAGTCGTTCTGGGCCCTGATGACATGGCCATAATATAGCAGTTGTCACTTCTTTATGGTCATAGCCAACTGTCTCTCTGTTCTCATTTCCTTCAGGAATGACGCGTTTGTTTTTTTGTTCATCCATGTCTGTATCATGTCTCAAAATACATCAGTTGTGGCTTTCACTGCCTAGATTTTGGAAGCATTCAGTGCAATATTAAATCTCATGAATTCAAACTTATCTGTTTGTTCTTTAAGTTGTTCATTCTTGTTTCTGCCATTTTGACTGTAAAAATAACTCCCTTCGTGTTTTTCTTGTGCATGTTTATAGTTGGCTGAGATTCGGTTCAACTTAATTTTAGCAAGAGTTATTTTAATAATTATTAATTATTTTTAATTTTGATAGTTTTACTTGATTAGTTTTCACTTTCCGTATTGTTTCAATCACGTGTTGGCTTCTCTGTGAAATATCCTTCCTGATAATGGGCCAACTATGATGTGGCAACTGAGAAATCAATATTTCAGGATTTTGAATATTGTCTCCTGTTGCAAAATTATTGCTGTTGATTCTTGCATGCAACTTT